GTGTCTTTATTTAAACAGTTTCTCTGTGACTTCCAGTGTTGTAAGCTGTGACAGTCCTGTAACTGCCCCCCCACCCACAACCTGTTATTTCTTATCCTAATGAAGACCCCAGCAGGGTGACAGGTGACAGCTTCCTGTGGGACAGCTGGGCACCCATTGCCGGCCTTAGCTTTGGCTTGGAGGGTCATCCTGGGCAGATGTTGCCAGCCCCAGAGCCCATCCTCACCCCTGTGTTAATCACCACTACTTCCTTTCAGTCCCCAGCCCCAGCCCTGCTGGCCAACAAAGAGTCAACGAGGGTAAGCAGCCCTAGACTTGTCTGTCTTGAGAACCCAGCTCTGACAGCTGTGTGACATAGCTGCTTGAGATCACCATCCCTTGTCCCTTTGACTGGTATCATCCCTACTCCCCTTCCAGAACCTTCTTACCCCAGTGGTCTCCTTGCTTACCTGGAAATTGTTGGAAGCTGACCTTTGCATGTGCTTATCTTTGTGGCACTTGTGTGTGTGAGTGTGTGTGAGTGTGTGTGTGAGTGTGTATGAGTGAGTGTGTGAGTGTGTGTGAGTATATATGAGTGTGTGTGTAAGTGTGTGTGTGAGTGTGTGAGTGTGTGTGAGTGTGAGTATACATGAGTGTGTGTGAGTGTGTGTGTGAGTATATATGAGAGTGTGTGAGTGTGTGTGTGAGTGTGTGTGTTTGTGTGTGTATGTGTGAGTATGTGAGTGTGTGTGTGTGAGTGTGTATGAGTGAGTGTGTGAGTGTGTGTGTGAGTATATATGTGTGTGTGAATGTGTGTGAGTGTGTGTGTTTGTGTGTGAGTGTGTATGAATGTGAGTGTGTGTGAGTATGTATGAGTGTGTGTGCATGTGTGAGTATATATGAGTGTGTGTGAGTGTGTGAGTGTGTGTGAGTATATATGAGAGTGTGTGAGTGTGTGTTTGTGTGCGTGAGTGTGTATGAATGTGAGTGTGTGTGAGTATGTATGAGTGTGTGTGTGAATGTGTGAGTATATATGAGTGTGTGTGAGTGTGTGTGAGTATATGAGAGTGTGTGAGTGTGTTTGTGTGTGTGTGAGTGTGTGTTTGTGTGTGAGTGTGTATAAATGTGAGTGTGTGTGTGTATGTTTGTGTGTGTGTGTAGGGGTATGTGCCTATGTGTTCAAGTGTAGGTACATGTGCGTATGCATTTACACAGAGACTAGAGGTGTCTGCCTCAATTACCCACTGCCTTGTGTTTTCAGACAAGGGCTCTCACTGAGCCTGAAGCTCACTGATTAACTCAGGGATCTGTTTGCCTCCCTCCTCCACTAAAGTCACTGCTGCTCCTGGCTCTTACGTGGTGCCAGAGATCCAAACTCAGGCCTTCATGGTTACACAGCAAACCTGTTACCAACGGAGCCCTCTCCTCAGCCCTGCCGTTTTTGCGTGTGACCCAATTTGATTTCTATCTTTGTCACTGTGATTCCCATTTACAGAAATGTTGACAGTGTGTCTGGTCTTACTGTATGGTTACCGGCCAGGGTCACTCACGCATACACGCTCTTGCTGTGGCTTGTCTCTGAGGGAGTCTCTGACTCTGGGGTGAGTGATGGCTGGTGACTGGGAGAACTGGAGCCGATGGAGCAACCTCGGAGCCTCACTTCACCCTTGGAGCCCTGGCTCCTTCCTTTTCAGCATGGGGACAGGTTGATGGGAACTGGACCCACTACTGAAAGGTGTCTTGCTGGCTGCCTGGTTTGTAAGAACCATGGCGATGTCGCAGTGCCTGGGGACAGGGAAAGGTTTTGACTGTCATAAGGCCTTAGGTGTGTCACTGAGGAACCTCACAGGGCACACGTGCAAACTAGGGCAGCTGTGCCATCAGTGACCGAATGTGGTGTGATATAGGACTCTTATGTGTCCATTGCTGGCTTCAACCACAGCATGTGGCTGACCAATCACTGCTGCCTGTGACCAGCCCTCCTGGGCTGGAGGTTTTGCAAGTCGGCCTTCATATTAATCAAGTGTATGGCCATGTCTTTTTGTCAGTGGGCAGTGCTGATTGAAGCGGGCCTGGGCTTGGGTCTGCCTTCCAGGATTCTGGGCAGGGGCAGGACAGGCCTTGGCTCCTCTTCCTTTCTCTCTGGCTCAGTGCTGTGCTGGCCACTGTGTTCTTGCTTGGGAAAGGGGGTTAGAAAGATGTCTGTCTCTAGGTCCTTATCCTAATGCTTTAAGAAAAGGTGGCTGTGGTGTTGGTGCTGATGTGGTGGTGTGATATGTTGGGGTGGTGATAGTAGTAATATTATGTATTTTGAGATAGAGTCTCACTGTGTAACCTAGGCTGGTCTTGAACCAGCCAAGGCCCCATCCTGCCCCAGCCCAGAATCCTGTCTTAGCCTCCCCAGTGTTAGATAACGGCATGTGCCACTAAGCCTTACTGAAAAGTTTTTTCAAAAGCCTTTCCAAAACCCACCCAGTGTCTGAATACCTGCTTACAGCCCAGAGGCACCAGGAAGGTCAGATAGGGTGGCTCCGACTATAGGCGTGTGTGGCGCTGTCTTAGCTGCTTTTCTGTTGCAGTGATAAGACACACTGACTAAAGAAACTTCAGGAAGGGTTTACCTTGGCTCACAGTAGAGCATGCTGGGAAGGTCAAGCTAGCAGGAGCTGGTCACATCCATTCACGATCAGGAAGCAGAAGGCCATGAACACAGAGTGGGACTCTTTCTCCACTTTATAAAGTCAGTGGGCGGGTCTCCCCACTCCCACACCCTACAAGCCTGCTTAGAGGACTGTCTCCCAGGGGACTCTTCATTCTGTTGAGATGACAGTTTATGCTAATCCTCTTCCTGCCCAGTTTGGCTTCACAATGTCCCTGGGAGTGTAGTGATGGGGACTTCCATGTCCCAGGCTTGGAGGACCAGCACATGGCACTGTAAAGGTCCCACTGTGTGAGAGCTGAGGCTGGTGTGCTCGAGCCCCGCCCCTCTGCTGCAGAGCACAGGCCTGAGCTTGGCTGTGAGGACAGCACTGGAGTTTTGAGTTCCAGCCACTGGTGCTGGCTGAGGTTTTGGCTATAAACAGGAACTAGGCATGTCTCTGCCCTAGAAGAGGTACTTCCTGGAAACAGAGACTGGCTGGAGAGGTGGCTTAGTGGTTGAGAGACAGCTTGCGGAGATTTGCGGAGGATTCCGACTCCGTTCCCAGCACCCACAGCAGGCACAAACACCTGTACATTAGAGACTCTGCTACCCTCTGGCTTCCACAGGCGTCTGCATGCGTGTGGTACATAAACTCACAAGACCTCACACATAGACACAAAATTTAAAATTTAATTTGAACAGGGTGTGATGCCATGTGCATATAACTCCAGCACTTAGGAGGCAGAATCAGAACTCTGTGAGTTCAAGGCAAGCCTGGACTACATACCAAGTTCTTGGCCATTCCTGGCTACACAGAGAGATCCTATCTTTAAAAAAAAAAAAAAAAAGTAGGACTAGGCCTGGTGGTGCACGCCTTTGATCCCAGCTCTCAGGAGGCAGAAGCAGGCAGATCTCCATGAGTTTGAGGCCAGCCTGGTCTACAGAGCGAGCTCCATGATGGCCAGGGCTGCACAGAGAAACCCTGTCTAAAAATCAAAAACAAAATTCCTGTCTGGCGCGGTGACACGAGTTCTTTGTCACAGCAGATGGAATCCATCACTCCGTCCCAAAGTAGGATCCAGCGGGGTCCAGTTGGCTCACCCTTCCTGTGGTCTCCTACCAGTCTCCTACTACTGGCATATGAGAATCGTGTGTGTGTGTGTGTGTGTGTGTGTGTGTGTGTGTGTGTGTTGTTAGTACATGTCTGCATGTTTGTGTGCACGTGTGTATGTATAAGGAGGTTAAAGGTGAACAATGGGTGTCTTCCCCAATCACTCTCCACTGTGTGTATGTGTGTGTGTGTGTGTGTGTGTGTGTGTATGTCTGTGTGTGTAGCCCTATGGTCTTGGGACCACAGGATAAGCCAACTGAAGCTCCAGTTGGGAATCTACTTTGGGAATAAGTGACCAATTGGGTAACCCTGGCTGGCCTGGAACTCACCAAGGTCCACCTGCTTCTGCCTCCCGAGAGCTGGGATTACGGATGTGTGCCACTATGCCCAGCCTCCACCCTACTTTTTGAGAAAGGGTTTCTCACTGAACCTGCAGCCATTAACTAGCTGTCCAGACTGTCCAGCCATCTCTAGGTATATTCCTGCCTCAGCCTTCCCAGAGCTGAGATCATAGCTGTGTACTCTCACTGCCATGCTTGGATTTTTCTTTTTTAATGTAGGTGCAATGGAATCCACTCAGCTCTTCATGCTCGTGACAAGTACTTCCCCGAACCTCTCATCAGCCCCAGGAGTCCTTTTTGGTTTTTTTCGAGACAGGGTTTCTCTGTGTAGCCCTGGCTGTCCTGGAACTCACTCTGTAGACCAGGCTGGCCTCGAACTCAGACCCAGCAGTCTTTTAAAGTATGTGTATTTATTTATTTACCTGTGTGGTGGCAGGCCCGTGTTATAGCATGCATGTGGAGATCAGAGGACAGCTGGAGTCAGCTCTCTCCTCCCACCATGCTCCAGGGATTGAACTCAGGTCCTCAGCCTTGGCAGCAAGTGCCTTTACCCACTGAGCCACCTTGCCTGCCCCTGAGAATCATCTCTTTTTTTTTTTTTTTTTTTTTTTGGTTTTTCGAGACAGGGTTTCTCTGTGTAGCCCTGGCTGTCCTGGAACTCACAGGGTAGTCCAGGCTGGCCTCGAACTCAGAAATCCGCCTGCCTCTGCCTCCCGAGTGCTGGGATTAAAGGCGTGCGCCACCACGGCCCGGCCGAGAATCATCTCTTAAGAAGCTACTGCAGCCTTCTCCCTAGTGGCTTCTTGGGTGCTCAGATGTGACTTTCTGTTTGGGATGGTGAAGACACAGCCTCAGGATCATGGTCTCTGGGCACCTCTGTCACAGAAAGAGGAGACTCTTTGGGTTGAGGGAGAGAGCAGTCGTCAGTCATTGGCAGATATCCCATGTCTAACATACTTCTGAACCCACTTATGACCTCTCTGAACTCGTCTGGCAGGTGCACCCAAGCCTTGGAAACCCCTGTGCTGTGAGGTGAGGTCGGGAGGGAGGACTTGGTCTTCTTTGTAGCTAGTGTGATGCTCCCTAGCTGGCTGCCTCCCACCTTGTGCCTTGTGTGCCCGAGATGTGTCTGCTAGCCTCCCCCTAACCTGCAGAGGGTCCACAGACCCTCCCCAAGGATAGCCAGAGTAGAGAATACAGGCAAGGAACTGCCCCAGACCCAGGGTCTGCATGCTCATCTGTCCTCTCCTGTACTGCCCAGTGAGCTGTGGCCATCACCCTTGCCCTCCCTCACTTCTTGGCCACCCCTGGTTGGTGGGGTGAGGTAGGGGTAGGGAAACCCTGACTCCCACCCACATCTGACACTGCAGCTCATCCTAAAGCTGAAAGGGCGGTGCAAACGCTTCCGAGAGATTCAGAGGCAGGGCCTCCTGCACAGCTGTGAGGTAGACTCTTAGCTGATCCTCTTCCTTGCCAGGATTCGTCCAGCTGTGGCCTGCCTCTAGCTGGCTTGCTGAGTAGGGTCACTCTCATTCGGGATGAATCAAGGGCTTAGTTGATGGCGTTCAGTACCCTCTGCTTAGCTTACCCTAGAGAAGGCTCAGACACAGTTGCTACCAATTCAAAAAACCAAAACAAACAACAAAAAACCAAAACAAACACAACCTTATCCTATGATGCTGTGGTGGGCTAGCCCTCAGGGAAGGTGTAGCCACTACAGGGTCTCTGAGAAGAGTTGACCAGCTCAGAGCTCTTACCAGAAAGCTTCCTAGACTGGGTACCACTAGGATGAGCCACCAGCTAGATGGAGCACACAACTCCTCCACAGTCCCTGTAGCTACCCGTCTAGGGAGTCTTCCCTCAGCAGGGTGCAGGGGCCTTCTGAATGCTACTTGCTGCTCTTTGGCCTTGATAGATGACTTCCACACCTCTCAACCCCTGGGTCCCATTTCTTTTTTCCTGGGTTTCAGGTGCCTGTGAAAGGGCTGATATATCTATCTCCTCCTCCTCCTCCTCCTCCTCCTCTTCTTCCTCCTCTTCCTCTTCTTCCTCCTCCTCCTCTTCTTCCTCCTCCTCCTCCTCCTCTTCCACTTCTTTTTCTTCTTCATCCTTCATTCTTTTCCTGTCCCCCTCCTCCCCCCTCTTTGGAGAGTCTCCTGTAGCCCAGCTTCTAGTTCACTTTGTAGCTGGTCTGACCTTAAGCTCCCCCCCCCCCCCCCCGTTCCACCTCCCGAGTGCGTCACTTAGCTCTGGCCTGGTGGGGCAGCAGGCCTTTACTGCGGTCAGTACTGCTACAGTACCTCTGATTGGGGTGTCTACCCTCCCCA